GGAGTAGAAAACAATGCAATTCCTCATGAAAAATCGAAGTTTTGAGTGCTTATTTGAACCCCATTCACACATCCCATGGCTTACCAGTTTAAAACATATTTACTGTCTCAATGAAAAGTCGAAGAAGCATCAATAAAGCTTACATAGGCACGATTGCTGCATGCTGCTGCCCAAGTTTATATGAGGTAAGAGTTTGAAGTCAGTCATGATAGTGCAAAGATACTGAAAATCAATTGTTTATACACCATCGATTTGTATTTCTATATATATACTGTTATTTAACTGTTTACTTGTAATTAAACGGTTGAGACTTTGGAAGTTGTTTTTTAGCTCTCTTACCTCAAAATTCTAAAATTTTTACAATATTTTGGGTTTTCAAGGTTTTGAAGCTGTTAATCATAATTTTTGTATTAAAATCCCGGGGGAAAAATCCTTCTTTCCGGATGGCATTTCCTCAAAATGACTGATTTTCATCGCTAGTGGCATACATGCAAATGTACCATTTAACGACATCAAAATAGCATAAATAACAGTTTCTTCACCGGACGTCCAAGAGTTAGATGTTCGACCGCTCTACACATTGCCCATATTTATTTCGCTGTGAAAAACATGGTAATTAAATGTATGTTGTACATGGCGGACTAGCATGTTTTGATTAAATGGTCGGAAAGGGGGGGTGTTTTATTTAAATGTTATCTGTTAAGAGGACTAAAAAATCAACTTTTGGTACCATCACATTAAGATTTGGCAAAGTACAACTTTTTTGGTACATAACACACAAAATTAGCTTTTTTTCATTATATATATACATTTAACTGATAATTAAGAATTTATCAACAAATAAGTATATTAGTGGCATACATGCAAATGACCAAGCAAAAATCCAGACGGTCTGAGAGATGTGCTCTACACATTATTTGCTGTGAAAAACATGGTAATTAAATGTAGTGCTCAATTCCCAGTCGTCCAAACCATCACAAAGATGGATTACACGGCTAACACACAAATTAGCTTTTATTATGACCAAAGATAGAATTTATCAACAAATAAGTATATTTAACAGGATTTTCCTTGCTTTGGGGTACTTTGCAAATTACCATGATCAAACTCTCTCTCTCTCTCTCTTTGAATTTGTATCTGATTTTCAAATATATGTGGAACATTTCTCGTTATGAAGATATGAGTGCTTTTTAAAAAAAAAAAAAACGAGAAATCACGGTTGTATGAGAACATTTCACATTAGCTTTACAGCAGATGTTACGGTAAATTGAGTGTGGATTAATTAAAAATAATATGCAGAAGTTCTGGTTCTAATCTACAAAAACAATGTTACTCTAAATATATGAAATATGTAGTTAATAATCTACCTGAAACAGAGTACACAGAAAATCGCGTTAATTATCTCCTGTGGAGAAATAACACAAAAAGATAATAGATACCCATTTTTACTGTATGCTACTTCTGTTCCTTTATATCTACTTGACAAAGAATTATCTCTTTTGAACTCTCTGAAACGTGAATCCAAAGAAAGGATTAAAACCAAGTTACAGTTTATATGACTGTTTTCCAATCCTAAATACTTGTAAAGTTAACATAACACACCACATAACATATTGAAATTTGACACAATGATGAATTTTTTGGACATGTCTCATTTCAGTTAAATTGGTTTAATTATCAATTTGAAAGCGTTAATGACTTTATGATTTCATGGCCTCCCCAATAGTTCACCAGCAGGCTTTTGTAAAATATGTAAACTGTGCACTCTCTCTATAATCTTTTGTTTGAAAACTGTGCTTCACCTAATTTTCACGTACATTTATGTATTTTTTTTTCAATAAAAGTTATTTCAAAGCAGTTGATTTAATTACCAGTATTTGATTTGAGACAATTGTACCATGTGCTCTTGAAAAATATCAAAGGTTCTTAAAATATTTCGTATTTAGATAAAAAAAAATTAAAGAAGCATGAAAAGTACTATTTTCTATTTTCATTCAATTTCGAATTCACTGAAGAGCAGGCTTCGAAGTGACTTCCAGAAGTCACTTTTTTTTTATATATATTTCTAAAATATTAAAGGTTCTTGTCGTGGTTTCTTTTTGATTTTGATTTTAAAAAGGGATTGATTGAGAGGGAACAAAAGTTCAGCTTATTGTCAGTGTGTGACTTTTATCTTATATATAGTTTATATTTATTACCATATAAAGTGAAAATATAATCTATTGATACATTTGAATCCACGATTCTTACAATTTGTTAGGACGGTTTAAATTAAATGAATAAAATACGGAACATGAATACATGTATTCTGAACGTATTCATAATCAACTTTTCAATATGTTTTTACTGTGTTAATGATATTTATTTTAGTCTTGCTACCTTGATTTGATTATAATAAACCAAAGAGATGATAAACATCTAATGATGTAGGGTATCATTTAAAAGCAAGCATCAATACTTTTGGCAATAAGCATTCACCAATGCACTTTACAATCTTTAATTAAATGAAAGTTTAAATGAGATGCTTTGAAAAGAGTTAAATGTGTAAAGTGTTTCACTGCATGGCCATTTAATTTTCAATCAATAAATGACCAATTTAACTATAATTATTTTTTTTTATTGAAAATCAAGTCATATTTATGTTGATTCGACAATGGGTCAAAGCATAATTTTTCTAAACAATTATTTTTTCATTTTTCTTATTATCCACAATCATTTCATACGTGTACTTCGTTTGATAAATGTTTAATTGCTTATAAATACATATATTAAATGTAGATAAATATCCTCGTGCACACGGCGGATTTGACCGGTCGGTCGGAGATGCTCACTCCCCATGGAACCTGATCCTACCTCAGATGTTTAGGATGTCTGTGTTTGCTATGCTCATATTTTTTTAACGTTTTATGGACTTTTGAGCTCGAATACTGTTCGTTATCTACACATATTTCATTTAGAGAAGTGACAAAATATTGTAATAGATATTCAACAAAATATAGACCGTTGAGTACATGTTGCAATAATTACATGTACAGTACCACTTGACTAATTACTGAATATAAGTGAATAAATGGTTACGTATATATGACTAACGAATAATTTCTTCCGCTAGTGAAAACATGACACAATCTTTTTTTTAAGCTTTGCTTTTCAAATCTCAAATGCTTCAAAAAAAGTTCAAAATTTTTAATTTTTTCAAAGCCCAATTCCCCATATACTTTATGAATTTAAGTATTTTTGTTTGTTTAACGTTTATTCTTGAATTTTATCCCATATTGAGACGCCACAACTTGCGGATGAAGAGCTGCAACATTTACACCTGGGCTTGACATTTTCAACCTTTGTGCAAAGAGGGCGATTTTACAAGCTAGCACCTATTGTGATACGGGACATCAACCGAAGGTACGGGCTCTTTGTCCCGCGACGAAAGAATCAACTCCTTACTCCGCGACTCTAGAGCAAATAAAAGGCGTCCTGCGCGGGCGAACATAATTCTAAAAACGCCATTTAACAATTTTCCCCACTTTTCTTACCCAACGTTTGATATTGAAAGTGGGTGTTATTGAAAAAAAAGTATTTTCAAGGTTTATTTGTTGATATTCGTTTGGGCGAGACTTTAGTTTTGACGATCGAAATTTATTTCAGAATAGTATTTTTACAATAGCGACTACCCCTTTTTATAAATAGGTGTTAATTAACATACTTTTCTGAATTGCACTTTTTACAGAAAGGTCTATGAGTAAACACTTCATTAACTCTTTGCTAACAATATGCTTTAAAGTGTGTGTTCTTATATAACATTTAATGAGAACTTTCATCAACTGGTTAATGCGTAGATTAATTAGAAAGTGCCACAGCATGCATTTATGAGTATATTCTATGCAAGAGCAGATATTTCTCTTTTGCCATGGTAATTCCCCTCTATTTAAACAATGCATATTTCTATGATCATTCCTGTTCCATATTTATCACTGAATAATTTCTAATTTGTTTTATTAATTTTTGGGTTTACAAGTGGTAATAAGGGGGAAAACTTGAAGAAACGGTATTGCATTTTCATGAAAGCTACAATAATGAACAATTATCAAGCTCAAAGTTCAATTGGAACGATGCAAATTGAGAAAAGAGCAAACACGGACCTCTAAACATCAGAGATGGGATCGGGTGCAATGAACAAGTAAGCATCTCTAGTCGATTCGTCATACATGCCGTGTGATCTTTGTCATGATCAAGTAAGCGGAATACATCCTTTGAAAATTCAATGTGAAAATAATGAATTGATTGTTTTCTGAAAAACGACAATCAACCTTACAGATGTTTTTTTCCCCTAACAATGTTTGTGACGACCATTACAATTGCAATTTGCATCTGATTTACTGCTCCTTAACACATTTAACATAGCTCTCGCCATTGGCATTATTTGTGTAACTTTGATAAGTTAGGTTTTGGTGCAGAATGTTTGCTGGTATCGGCCATCAAACGTATCTTTCCTGGTTACTGCACATTCAATGTTTGCAAAGCATATTGTATGATATTCTGTTGTTTAAATAATTTTTCTTTTGATGTATCCCGTGTTTATATAGACTATGTTTAACTTGGTTCAGCATTAATTAAATATTATTTACTTGCAGTCAGGTAATTTATTTTTCCGAAAGCTTTCTTTGCAATGGCACCATTTCGATGTTGGAAATCACAATCTAGCCAAAATCATTTATTCAAAGCAAACAATTTTTATTATGATCGACCAAACAATGCAGGATATTTTTCTCAACCAGTAAATGAATCCACAATAAACAGAAATAAAACTTCTTATTGATCAGTGCACCGTGTATGTTTAATATATTAAATCACAGACCAGTGGGGCGAACATTAATATTTCTTTCTTTACACTTGAAATGCAGTTGAGATGAAAGAAACCATTAATTGATGAGCAAATTGCCCACACCGAGTGATAAACCTTATATTAAAAGTAATTTGTAGAAAAAAATGATGATACTCACTTTTGTTGAGACGATCTCAAAGCTAGGTCATTTTGTTGTAATCAAGGTAGGACTCATTCTAGAGAAAAATCCAATAATTCCGTTTTTCAGAAAGCAGTGCTGGTAAGCCATAAAGAGGCGAACACTAATTTACTTATATAACTTTCCTCACAAATACTCTCACAAAGTCATGTATATTTAAACATTATTCTCCTCATCATGAACATTGTAAGTGAAGGAACCAACCTCGCCCGCCGGAGGTTATACCTTGTGTCTAATCTCACATGATTTGCTTAAATTGCCATCACACCATACTGTTTTATATATTTCTTGCCAAACAATAAACTCTGGTGCAAATTTAAGATAATACTATAACCGTTTTTTCAACGCTTGAACTGTTGATAACATGAGATGAGTATGAAAAACGATTACTATTAAATCGCTATCCCCAATTTTTGTGGTTTATTTCGTAACGCTGATAATATTTTCCCCTTGAAATAGCTAATACATTTCAAAGAAACTGATAAATCAGCTGATAGTTGGTGATTCATTTAACAAGAGTCTTGCTTTCGGGAGTATTTGATGTGGAATATCCCCCCACCAGGGGAGAGATTCAATTACTTTAAAATCGTTCTGTTTCAAATGTATTGCTGTTATAATTGGAAAACAACTATTAGAAGTATTATTTCTTCATCTTTTTTGCTATTGGCTTCTGTAAACTGAATTAAATTTCATAAAAACAAGTTTTGTCAGAATAAATACTTTGAATGGAACATACTTTTTATGTATTTCTATTATCCCCCTTTTTTAAAAAAAATCTCTTCACAAAATGAAAATGATCTAAACAATTACATCGTAGTTAGGACCAAATGTCACCCATGAGACGAAGTGGTAAGATCTTCTGCTCTAGAGTCGCGAAGTAAAGAGTTTATCCTTCCTTCGCGGGTTCTATTCCCATCGTGGGACATGGAAACCAGCCTTATGGTTTGAGATCGTATAAACCCGTGCCACACTTATGTGCTGGTACACCGTGTACTAAAAGATTCCTTATTGTGAAAGGGTTCTACATGTATATCAATGGATTCAATAGGCAAGAGCATGTTCCGTTCCACATATGAACATTTTCTAACGAGGTAATTTTTGACAAACAAGAATATCAAGTTTTATTTAAAGTCATCATTTAGTACTCTTGGTTCTATATTTGATACTATGGCCTTGTCAGCAAGTCAAAAAATAACTGACAGTCTTGTTATTTTCTCAATAATGACAAGGAGCACACAGCGGTAGTGACCAGTTGGTAGGGTATGCCCACAATCCCACCTCTTATGTTTTAGTGTTTCGTGTTTGCTCTACTGCTGATTTGTTTGTTTGAATAGATTTTTGAGCTTGAATACTGTATGTTTTCTTCAAATATTTAATTCTGTAAGATGTAAATATCCACATAATCCTGCAGAAAACTAATTAAAGCACTTCGTCTTATTATTTAAAAAACACTGTCATGGTTACCGGGTATTAATACTGTTGACATTTTTTGTCCAAGGGCAATAATATTTATGTACTCGTAATTTAAAAATTGAAAATCCATTCTTAATCAAATGTGATTCAGAAATCAAGAATATCATTGATTTGAAAAAAATAGAACAAAGTTAGTTTTGATAACTTATTTTACTAACAACGTCATAAGAAAATTAATTTTTTTAAAGTGATCTATGAATAAAACCCTAAAATGGTATATTGTTAAGGTATATATTACATAAGTTACATTCAATAAAGATATAATTTTCACATTTTTAAGATATATTCAAATAATTTGAGAAAAAGGAGGCAGCATTTGCATTCATTTCTTGCAATAGACTTGAAGAAACAAATGGGTGAAATTAGAAACAATGAGAGATCTCAAGAAATTCTACGAACAATATAAATCTATCAAAAGGACATGACACATGGACCCTCCAGAGGTTGGATCAGGTGCCTGGGATAAGAAAGCATCCCCCTATTTGTTCGATCACACCTGCAATGAGCCCTATGTATTGATACGATTGACAGGGAAATGCTTTTTAAAATAAATATCAACTGTTATGAAATTAAAAAAAAATATTTAAATCTGTGCACTAAATCGTTACAAGCCATGACTTATAACTATCTATGGAATGAAATATATGGAGATAACTAACATTATTTAAGCTCAAAAGTTCATTAAGCAATACAAAATTGGAGAGAAAAAAAACATGGACCTCCAAAACATCAGAGACGGGATCAGGTACCATGGAGGAATGAACATCCCCTGTCGACCAGTCACATCCGCCGTGTGCTCCTTGTCATGATTTGGAAAAAACGAAAAATTCCGTCGACAAATCTGTGTGAATATACTGGCTTAACAATAAGTATATATGAAAAACGTCAGTCAGGAAGGGCATTGTAATGAACATAGAAGAAGGATATGGAGATAACGAAAAGTATTCAATATCAAAGCTCATAAAACAATACAAAATAGGAGCAGAGCAAACACAGACCTCCGAAACATCACAGGTGGGATCAGGTGCCATGGAGGAATGAGCATCCCCTGCTGACCGGTCACACCCGCCGTGTGCTCACTGTCATGATCGTGAAATAACGGAAAAATCCGTCGTCAATTCAGTGTATAAATAATGGACTAACAATTGGTATAAAAAACGTCAGTCAGCATTTGACTCAATGATAAATTGTATTTGCTGATAAGGTCATTGTATCGACCATAGAACTTACGAAATGATGACTTTAAGCGAGACTGCTGATATTCTTGTTTCATCAACTTGCTTGTCAATAATTTACCCCGTTTTAGAAATTGCTCATACGTAGAGCATGCTCTTGCGTATCGAATCAACTGAGATATATACACTCCGTTTGCAGGTGATGAAAGTATATTGCTGCATAAGTAAGGGAAGTTGACGGTTGAAAAGTTAAAGGAGTATATATGATAAGTGCCAATTTTGGCACCCTAAAAATCAACATTTTAGAATGACATTTAGATATGTTTTATCAATATTTATTTTGTAGAAGAGAATGTATTAGAAATATTTCAAATACATTTTTCACATTTATATGCACCCACTAGCTGTAAATGACATGAGAAATAAAGCTATTTTTGCTATCTAACAAAAAAAGCCAAAAATATGCCTTTTTCGTGATGTTTTTTCTTAGGGAAACATAGAGCGCAGTGTAGAACATACGTAATTTTTCTGTCACTAATTAGTATTGGATAGATACATCTTTGGTAAAAATATAAATCTTATTCTAGGCTGCGCTCTATATTTTCTGGAAGAAAAACTGCTTGAAAATAGGCAGTTTTATACAAAATATGCAAAAATGGCGGGAAAATGTTAATTTTATGATGTCATATTTCTAAAATAACGGCATTTTGATCAAAATGAAAATGACCAATAAAGGTCGCATATATAGCTGTACAAATTAAATCTATATATAAAGTAAAATTAAGATATCCATTTTAAGAGGCCAATTGAGACACTTACTATATATTGCTCTTTATCAGTTTCATCGTGATGTTTGGTTGTTAGAAAATCATTCACATTTTTTTTCAAGTAAAATATCCAAATATGAAACAGGTGTGTCGGACTCCGTGGTATATTTAATATCATGTTGGAAGAAGTTTCTTTCTTGTCATTATATAATGATGGCAAGCGAATATGAAAACGATAACAAAGATGGTAATCTATTTTGCTTTACATGGCACAAAAATGACCATGAACATAAAATCCATATGTTTATCATATGATAAATATATTCCTAATTATTTATATTATTCAATATCATAAACATCTTATTCGTCAAATAAAGTGTATCTTGTATGCTAAATCCTCTGGCCCAAAGGGCTTTTAATACCTGTTTATACACAACATGACACCCTGATAAAGTTCAGATTTATTAAGTTGAACCAATAAATATATACATTTTAACACTACATACACAGCATATTTACATTACAAAACAGCAAAATAACAAATTAAAAAATATACAAAAATGTACAAATTTTTTTGGCATCTTGGGGGCTGCTCTCTCTTATCTTAACAGCATATTAAATAACCTGGGGGGAGCCCAGCAGGTTATTGATTGTTACCCCAGAACCTGGGGGGAGCCCAGCAGGTTCCGGGCTTGATACCTGGGGGGAGCCCAGCAGGCAATCATAGATACTCAATAAAATAATGGGTATACTCTATTCAACCTGGGGGGATTGATGATAATTTCAAGTATATAGTACCTGGGGAGAGCCCAGCAGGTTACGTTATGTAAGTTTCATTTAGTACTCCATTAAAAACCTGGGGGGAGCCCAGCAATAATGATTTAATGTATAAAGTACCTGGGGGGAGCCCGGCAGGTAAGTTATGTAAGTTTCATTTGATGTATACAGCCTGGTAAGAGCACAGCAGGCCTTAGGAGTGTTGAATACACAAATTTAAATTTCTATTTAGTACTCCATTAAAAACCTGGGGGGAGCCCAGCAGGTTGATAATGATTTAATGTATAAAGTACCTGGGGGGAGCCCGGCAGGTAAGCTATGTAAGTTTCATTTGATGTATACAGCCTGGTAAGAGCACAGCAGGCCTTAGGAGTGTTGAATACACAAATTTAAATTTCTTACTAATTACGAGTCGATAATTAAGTAGCGTTATTTGAAATTGGGGGATGAAAAAATTCCAAATATGAGCACAGCAGGCCTTAGGAGTGTTGAATACACAAATTTAAATTTCTTACTAATTACGAGTCGATAATTAAGTAGCGTTATTTGAAATTGGGGGATGAAAAAATTCCAAATATGGGAATTTTAATGTCAAAATAAAGGAGCAGCCCCTTTAAAATAAGTTGGCAATACATATAAGATTACAGTTAATGACTGGTAAACATTAGGCATGTATGTATATGAACATACTGTATCATCATCATGAAGATATTAACTTGGCACATAAACAATAGGAGATGAAGGGGTGGTGGGTGGGATAACAAAACGATCAAGATACAGATTCTGGCTACTTCAATTACAAAACATTGACTAAGTTAGCGTCCCTTTCTAGGATTTTGATTGGTTAAGACGATCACGTGGTTTAGTTTATAAACAGCTCAAGCACATGCTAACAGATTACGTAAATAGGTACAGCTCTGTTCACACAGTACATAACAAAGACAGTTGTGTATAAACAAAAATTAAATAAATTTACATTTTATACACAACATGACACCCTGATAAGGTTCAGATTTATTAAGTTGAACCAATAAATATATACATTTTAACACTACATACACAGCATATTTACATTACAAAACAGCAAAATAACAAATT